TTTAGTGCTGGAATATTTGCTCCTCCAGTATCTGGCATCCACCACTGCCTAAAGAACTCAGCAGAACAGCACCAGTTATTATACATGCAGAAGATGCCCAGGGAAAAAAGACACGTATAAAAACCAGGTACTATACATGCAGTAAACAGGAGCCCATATGCCCCATATACATGCCAAGACCGCTGTCACCAAGGGCAACAGTAAGCCTACTTATTTTACAGAAGAAGCCCCTCTAGATCTAAGCCTCAGATCTTAAGAGGCTTAAAATAAAATTCTATGCAGCCCTTCTAAGGATTGAGTAGACGCCTAGCACCTCAGAAATCTCTGTAATCCTGGTTTAAATTAATTAAAGGTTTAGAATGCTTTATCTTATCCATTTTGTAATAACCTTTTAGATTTTAAAGGCATCATCACCTGAAGGCACAAAAAGCCCACTGAAATATGGAGTCTGACCATAAATCAGAATTTTCTAATCAGAGTTCTAAGGCAAAAAAGAGTTGATGGATTTGCAAACAATGCTAAGCCAGGATTTAGTGCTGTGAGTTGGAACAGGCCTGTGTAAAGCTGCAGGCTCACGGGTTGCTCTGCCTTCCACACATCTAGGACTTGCAGTGGAGGTTGGCTTAATATTATATTTGAAACAGCTTTTGTGGCTTAAAATAAATTTAAGTTGGTGAACCAAAGCAGCAAAAAAGCAAATGAACAAAAAAACAAGCAGAGTTGTGTTTTTGAAGCTGGTTTGAATGGAACAAAGCAGCAGCTTTTGCAGAAAGTGAAGCAAAATCTCTTGGAAGTTCTCCCAGCCCCACAGGAGAAGCGTATAAGCCTAATGCAACACACAAACCAGGCCACTGCCTTCCATTCTCTTTCAGAAGGGAACTGGGAACTTCTAGATAGAACTCCTCTTTTGCTATTCATGACAGCAAGAAAATATACACAGGTGGTCCTTGGGTTAGGACAGCAATTGGGACCAAAATGGCCGTCGCTAAGCGTGCGGTTGTAAAGCGTGATGTCACATGACCACATTGGTTAGCAACAGCAATCCCGCAGTCATTGCCGTCGTTAACCGAATCCCACTGGTCGTTAGCTGAGGACCCACCCCGTTTCAAGTCATTCCCGGCTTAGTCCCTCCCAGCTCCAAGCCTCAGTAAGGTAAGGGACTGCCTCCTCTTCAGCTCCCCGCACCCACCTACCTCACCCCCCACATCTCTGCCCTTTTGGGCGCCCTGCGCTCTACTGGCCCTGCCTCCCCCTTGGTAAATAACCTTGAAAATGACAACAGCTTGCAACAGGTTCCAACCTCCCATACCTTGTATTTTCATCATAAAACTTGACTTTCCTCATCACAGAAGTATTGTACCAATCACTGAATACTACAAGCGATAGTCCATTGTCAACATCCCTTCTCAGCTTAATAATTTCTTCTGGAAAATACTCTTCCTCGCTGTCCACCATCAATAATGTTCCTGCATAAATAATAGGAGGCTGCAGGTTATTGGCTTCAACAAACATAAGAGATATTTGGATAAAGTGAAAAGTTGGAGGTAGGACAGCCATCCAGGACCCTGCCCTTAGGCCTCCCCCTTCTTTTTTTATATATTATATATTTAATTTTTTTAATTTTTATTAATTAAGTAGAAAAACAACAGGAAAAGAAAAAAAGGGGGAGAATATATATACATACATAAAAATGCATACATAATATTGTAATCCCTAACTAATGTGATTTATCGTTTCTTGTCCTGTTTTTGGTTAACATTATTACTGTTGCTAAACTCTGTAATAAGGTGAAGGTTGAAACAAAAATTCAAAGGATGAGATTTGGTATAATGATTAAAATAAAAAGCATAAAATTAAAAAAAGATATTATAGGAAAAAAGCATTCAAGTAGCCCCCTCTCTTTTATTCCCCCCCCCTCTTCTTTTTCCCTGGCTGCTAGCTGCTACTTAAATATTTTTATACTATGCTTTAAACCTCCATGATTATTGCTCATTTCTATAGAAGTCATTTAATTTTTTTTAAGCAGTTTCTCTTTCTTCTTAAAAACCCATATTCTAAATACCTTAGCTTGCCTTGCTGTGAAATATGTTACTTGGAATATGTTATTCCCTGGAATTAAGCAAAAAAGAGACTAACTTTTAATTGAATGCTGCTTATCAAATCAACTCCTGTCCTTTATAGTGACCCACAACTTTTAAAAATGTCAGAAATGGAGAACAGAGAAAACCTGACCTTTAAATTAATAGCCTATCATGGGGAGAAGGGTGTTGAACCAGAAAGTTTGATTTAATATCAAAAGAAATGAAAGCGTCTGGACAGTTTAAGCCTCAAATCCCAAAAGCTACCGTTATCCCAAAAGACAAAGAAGGAAATTCTAATAGTTTGAAACATTCTCTACCCACTTACACAAGTGGGTTTGCATAAATATGCCAGATTAAGCTAAATGGGGTTGGATAATTTGTGATCCATCTTCTTCTGCGAAACCCATCCCTTGCTTAAGAAGTTGGATGAACCCAGCATCACGTTAAGCCATAATATTTTATTGGGGCATAAAACAATATAATTGTCAGCAGAGGAATTGTTCTGTTAACTTGGGGTTGGAGTCAAGTCTGTCTTTGTGAACCTGGCTTTAGGTTCCTAATGAATACTAAAATCTGTATACTTTTCACCCTAACCTGCATAACTTCACCTCAATGTCCTTTTGTACAATAAAAGGATTGAATACTAAACAGTATTTCAACGAGGTCAAGAGAAAATCTGACACTGTATATCAAAGATAATAAAAGCCTTAAAATAGATCAGCCTAATGAATTCTATCAAATAACAATGACAATGTTACATTAACAAAGCACTTAAGATTCAGGACCTGAAATTCATTTCTTCAGAGTTTAAACAACCTGGTAATTATAAAGAACAATCTCATATTATCAACTTTGAAAGATGGTAATTTGAATTTTCATCTAAAACATATTCAAATATAACTAGCAGCAGCACACTTCACAATTGCTGCCCTATTAGGCGTCAGTTTCAAGAGCTACTTGTACCTCTCTTTGATAACTTTGAAAACTTCTTTTACAACTGAATGGCATTTTCCACCTCAATTAGGCTGCCAAAATGTGTGAAATGGGGGATCTTGAGCGCTGAAAGCTCAGTTTAGATCTGGCACTGAAAATAAGTCCCTTGTCCTCAGAGACATCCTTTTTTCAGACCAAATGCACATCTTTTATACCTGACTCCAGATTGTGAAACAGTTTGTCGTTCAGCAAGCTATTAGATTAGACCACCCTGACTCTGCCTATCTTCGTTCGATGTTTTGAAATCCTAAACAAAAGAGCTTTGGATTAATCTAAAAGAAGATAAACAACAACCAACTTATAATCACTTACCATACTGACTGGCATCAAAGCATGTAAATGGTGAACCAAGTACTTCAATGAAATACCCCATACTTCTCAGATGTTGGTACATATCTCTGAAGTTGGTATGAATGTGGTCACCATTCCTAAAGAGGTGAAGAAATCAAATATGTACCCTAATTGTCTCTCAAATTGCTTTCTACTGTACCAGGAACCTGAAGAACTTTTATGGAATGAAATCATTGGGGAGGGAAGGGGACGGGAGGGGAGGGGAGGGGAAAAGATACTGCAATTCACAGAAAATAGAACTAAATGGAAAACAGGAAGAACATTCAAAATGCTCAGTAACATACTGTCATTATCTGCCAGGCTGCGTAAACTTGTAACAAGTACAAAGAGCAAATAAAATCTAAAATTGAACAAACTAAAGAATATTTAGTCTCTCTAGAGAAAATGACTTTATCAAAACCCTGAAAGAACATATGCACTGCTTTCCTGTACATGATTATATTTTAACTTGAAAATAAACTGCCTGCCAGAATTCAAGTGCAAATGTGGAAAGCATTAAAACACTTTTTAAAACCAGCCTGATCCTATTCAAGAGTTTCAGTCAAGATATATTCTTACCTTGTTTAAAATGTTAAGTTTTAAATGCCTATATACACATTGTGCATATTTACAAGTAGAAATGTAGATGATTTCACCTGTAGATGCACATATTTTCAAGCAGAGTATTGTATCTTCAGAATAAAAATCACTGATAATGGACAAGGTCAGGTCCACAGGGCAAAGATTTTACAGTGAGCTAACCGTATCTCCTAACACATCAATGCCATCGTGCCTAAATAATGATCAGAACCATACAAAAATAAACATACCAATCTAATGGATCGTTCTTCATTCTTAAATTATCCCTTGGAAAATATCCTGGTGGATAGCAAAGATTGTGATACTGATCCCACAAGATCCGCTTATTCCGAGGTGGGGTTGGGACAATTTTCACTTTTATGGGGAGTTTCACGGTTGAAGTTTGTTCAGCACCAACTTTTGACTGAAAACAAGCAAAACAAAATGAAACTAATTTCCTGAACACAACCCACTTTATAGTCTGGTCTAACTGATAACATCCATCCATTCATCCATACGTAGCCACCACCCTGTTCCATTTCAGGGCAAAGTGTAGAATGGTAGTAAGAAATAGCAAACTAAAGAAATTAAGGTCTGAGATAAGAAAGAGAGGAAACATACCTAAACAGTTAATATCAACACCTCTCCATACTTTCCTCTTCTTACAACCATCCTTGTTTCAACCATATCCATACATTGCTTCCTACACATACTTTAATTGAAGGAAGCAAATACACATTTCAAAGCAACTTTTCAGTATCAATATTCAAAAGCACTGAATATTCTTACCCTACAGTCCCTGATCTTATTAGAGAGCCAGTGTTGGGTAGCGATTCAGTTGTTGAGCTAGGAATGAAGACCAGCTTCTAGTCCTCACTCAGCCACAGAAGCTCCCTGTGGGACTCTGGGCCAATCCCTCCCTCTCAGACCAAGTGCCAGTGCTGTGTAGTGGTGAAGATGTTGGGTTCGGAGCAGGGAGACCCATGTTCTAGTCCCTCTTCAGCTGTGGAAGCTCCCTGTGCGACTCTGGCTCATCCCCTCTCTCTCAGTCAGGTACAGGATTAGGAGTGAGGAGATCCAGGATCTAGATACTCCTCCTCCATGGAAACTCCCTCAGGGGCTCTGGGCCAGTCCTTCCCTCTCGGCCCAAGAGCCAGTGTTGGGTAGTGGTGAAGGTCCTGGATTAGGAGATGGGAGCACCAGGTTCAAGTCCCCACTCAGCCATGGAAAATTCTTGAGGGACTTTGGACCAGTCACTTTCACTCAATCCAACCTATTTCATAAGGTGGTTGTTATAGGAAAAATAGGAAGATGAGTATACCACCTTGAACCCAAGGATGAAAGGTGGGATATAAATCTAAGAAATAAATACATATTTATACAATGATATAATACAGAGGTGCCCCGGGGCTCTGTGAGGCTCACAGAAGCCTTGGGGATGGCCTCTTGATGCTTCCAAAAGTTGATCCTGAGTTACTGAACCATTCTCTGTCTTTCATGGAATTTATTGCCATGTTTCTGAAACAGTTTTTTTTTTTTAAACAGAGACTACAAACTAAATGCATCCAAGAATTTGGGCATATGTAGAAATAGGCCCTTGGAATCCAGCCCACATAGTTTAAAACAAGGTGGTCCTATTTAAAGTTTTGGTATTTATAGTATTTCATTCTGCATTTTACAGGTGTTGCACTTTATCATTTAACTTGCTCTGAAATCTTCTTGAAATATTGTTACAACATGAAACAGAAAAAATGTATGGATTTGATGATTAGAAATAATATGAGTTCATAGAAATAATGAAAGTTATGTTATAAATTTAGAACAGGAATTTGATGTATATTTTTACTTATATCTGTTGCAAGGTGGGTCAGAAGTCAATTCTTTTTTTCCTTTGTCTTCTCTCTTTTTTTCCCTGCGCTTTTGATCTTTATTATTCTTTTTTTTCCCCTAATCTTTTTTCCCTCTTCTTAATTTTTTTCTTAATATTAGTTCTTGTTAGTTTTTACTGTTCTTTTTTTAAAAAAAAAAAGTTATTATAAAAAATGAAATATTGTTACAACATATAAAACACCATACATTAAATTAGAAATAAATTAATGCCATATTTTAAATTAAAACTGAATTAAAACTTATCAAGGCTTTCAAGGCTTCCAAGGTTATGAAATCATAACCACTTAAATAAAGCAAATTCAAAGTGTGAGTGACAGGGAGATTATTAATCTTTTACTATAAAGACTACAGTCTTATTAAATAGCCATCTTAAAGACCGCATTTTATTTCAGGCTGCTTTCTTATTTTTCATTTGAAGCCCACTGTATCCTAGGAGCTCTGAAAAAGTAACAACGGCATTCATCAGGGTCTGCAGCCAGCCACAACAATGCCAAAATGACAAAATGTGCGTTGTGACGTCACAGCACAAGCTCCACCCTTTCAAGCTTGCATGTCATGACATCATCACAATACATGTTTTATCCCTCCCGTGGAGGCATATGGCAACTGCATGCATAACTAAAGGGTCATGTTGCTACCGAGGCCCTTAAAAATGCAGAAAAGATTGGGGAGAGAAAGCTGAGTATTATGCTGGTCAAGATCTAATACGATTAAAATACAACCCCTGTAGCAGTGTCTGGTGCAGAGGGGCCACTCTATATTTAATTTTCAAATACAGCTTTCCTACTGTAAATAAGACTTAGGAAATTTATGCAGGACATCCTGGAGGCCCAAAATAGGACTCGAGAAGTTATATTCTTTGGTGATCCCAACCGAAGGATGCCCATGTGGTACAATGAGGCTCCTGGTCTCTCTGCAGCAGTTGTTGTCCGTGACACCCAGCATGCCCATACCAAAACAACGCAAAGAACTTCGAAATGTATAGCCAACCTCATTTTCTGCTGGGGAGGAAATGGTGATCATGACGTGTCCTTGTGCGGTGCCTTCCCAAGAGGCGGCTTTCTTTGCCACGGAGATGGAAATGGCCAGATACCCTGACCAAGGCCATAGAACAGGAGAATAGGAAAACGCCACCTCAATGTAATCTCCGTTCTGCGGTAAATACGGTTGCCAATCCGGCTACAAAGATGAAACGGAAAGCAAAGTGATCAAAACATTGAGGCTACAGATACGGAAGAGCTAGAAAAGGGGAACAGAGAACACCACAGGGATTCGTCTCATACGTCATACGCAGCCATTACGTGGTTTGGATGGTTTTTTTCTTGAGGTCAAGTTTGTAGCAAATGATCTGTCACACTGAAGCAATGTGCTCATTAAGAAAAATTAAGTGAAATTCTTAGTTTTATGGATTACATCTGTAATCCATTCAGTAACACAATTTATCAGGATAGACTGTAAATTAAAGGAATAAAATGAGGCAATACTTAGCACAGGGGATACAAATATACAGGTAGTCCTCAGGTTATGACAGCAACTGGGATGGGGATTGCTGTCGCTAAGCGATGCGGTCATAATGCATGGCGTCACATGAACACATCGCTTAGCGACAACAATCCTGGCAGTCCCAGTTGCTGTCGTAAGTCCAAGACGCGTTGGTCGTTAAGCGGGGAGTGGCGGGGGGCCCCGGGAAGGAGGCAGGGGGGCCCACGGGGGGGGGGGGGGGGGGGGGGGGG